AGAAGAAGAAGAAGAAGAAGAAGAAGAAGAAGAAGAAGAAGAAGAAGCCATCTTTAATGAATTTCAAAATTTAACTAAGAAAGAAGGAAGAAAGAAAGGAAGAAAAATGAAGGACTTAAGATTTAAAAAAACACTCAAGAAAGAGAAAAATAAGGTGCAAAATCAATATAATGATGGTAAACAAAAGAAAAAAGGAGCACAACAGAGAAGGGAAGCCAGTAAGGCAGAGGCTAGGAGAAGGGGGGGTAGAAAGGTCTGCTGGGGGAAGAAAGAAAGGGAAAAGATGGAGAAAAGCCACAAAGTTTTGAAATTAGATGGGAAAAGAGGAATCTTTTTTTAGGGACAAAGGGTAAAGTACAATTTCTTTAAAAAAGATTTTGCAAGGTACATAAGATGGTATTGTAGCATTTGTATCAGAAATAGAAAATTAGAATGGTTTAAGAGTTAATAAGAGATTAAAATGTTGAAATGTTTAGTAATGATTGATTTTAAAATTTAATAAAATATTAAAGGGAATGGTTAGAATATTGAGTTTTAATTAAAGAGTTTAATATGACTATGGTATTGATGTTATTATAAAATTATTATTGTAGCATTTGTTTTTGGAAAAGGCAATGGGAATGTTATAAGATTCAATATTTAGATCTATTATTTAACTATGTATTTAATCATTTTGGATTTGTTATTTTTCTTTTATTTAAAATAAAAAAATAGTAGATAGAATGTACCAAGCAGAATCAGATTGGGTATTAGGTGTTATTTTAAATGTTAATCTAATTAATTTAGGGGGAAGATAGAAAGGCATCATACTCTGATTAGTGATTTCAGGAGAAATTCTTTTTTTTATTATAAGGAATGAGATAGAGGGATAATAAAGAATGGACAAAAGATACAAATATAATGACTCAAATTAAGATGGATTAAATAAAATAGAATTAAGAAGAGTGAAATGTGTGGAGAAGCTAATATAGAAGACATAGAATGGTAAATAAAATAGGTAATGACATGTAAGATGAGCATGAATGTAATTGAAGTCCATGTAGAGAGAGGTACCTGGGGCCAAGTTACTTTCCTAAAAGATTTTTTATATGTTTGTGTGTTGTGTGTTTATGTTTCTGGGAGAATTAATAAAACCTTGCAGAAATATAGAATGAGAATAATGGTAATCAAGTCAGAAAGAAATAGATGAAATAATAATAGTGAAATTGAATAAGAGTAAAGAGAAGTAAAGAGAAATTGGATAAGAGGTATTTGTATGCTCATATGGAAATGGTTTAAAATAGAATTATATTGTATAAAATAAGGTTTTATTTGACTTGTAAAATTTACAATGGAAAAAGGTTTAAGTATGTAATGGTTAATGATGATTTGTTTGTCTTTAAAATTAATAAAATTTGTTTAAAAAAAAAAGAGTTCTCCACTCCTCTACTCGTTGCAGAATACTTTATGCCACCAGACTCGAAATTCTAGACCTAGAAAACCTACAACTACGCCGCCTTCAGTCCGATCTAAGTATAGTATATAAAATTATACATTTCAATGTCCCACTGGTCAATGAATACTTCAGCTTCAACCATAACAATACAAGAGCACACAATAGATACAAGCTCAAGGTTAACTGCACCAAACTTGATTGCAGGAAATACGACTTCAGCAACAGAGTGGTCAATGTCTGGAATACTCTTCCTGACTCTGTGGTTTCTTCCCCAAACCCCAAAAACTTTAATCTTAGATTTTCTACTATTGACCTCATCCCTTTCCTAAGAGGTCTGTAGGGGGCGTGCATAAGCGCACCAAAGTGCCTACCATCCCTGTCCTATTGTTTCTTTTATTTTTCTGATATGTACTCATTTCTTGTATTCATAACTATGTTTATCCTTGTACCTATTATCTTGTAAGCGATTGAAAAATCAAATCAAATCAATCAATAAATAAATAGTTGTAGGTGGCCACATACTCCTTCTAAACATTGGGGTGGTTCAGCCCTAGAGGGGCAATCTAATGTAGTGAGTGGTTAAAGGCACTGAAGACCCGAGTTTCAGTGCTCCCTTAGGCATGAAAGTTAGTTGGGCGATTGGGCCAATCACTTTCTCTTAGTCCTAGACTAGGAGGTCAAAAAAATATCCCAGAAGAAGATGCAATAAAACATTTTCAAAAATGGTACCACCTGCACAAGCCTATCCATTGCATTCATCTGAAGTCAAAGTTGACAAAAAGGATAATTCGTTTGTTGCTCTAGGCTTAGTGCAAACCTAGACAAAGTAGGGACAGAATGTAATGAACTATTTGCACTATAGTACATGCTTCCCATCAGTGGTGGGATTCAAAAATTTTTACTACCAGTTCTGTGGGCATGGCATGGTGGGGGTTACTTGGTTGATGTGGCAGGGGAAGGTTCCTGCAAAAATCTCCATTCCCTCCCCACCCCACTAATCTGCTTTCCAGCTCCGTTCTCCTGTGCAAGGCAACCAAAGAAGACCCAGCCAATCAGCTGGGACTTGAGAGGCAGAGAATAGATGGGGGCAGGGCCAGTCAGAGGTAGTATTTGCCGGTTCTCCAAACTACTCAAAATTTCTGCTACCGGTTCTCTAGAACTGATCAGAACTTGCTGAATACCACCTCTGCTTTCCATCCCACCTC